GTGAAAAAGTGAACAGTGACCACACGACTGACATCTTTGGGTCAGTTCACTCTCTCTCCTCCTTCCAGGTGCACACAAACAGAAACACCACAGAGGAACTGAATCAGGAATGTGAGAAACAGAAACAAGTGGCCTTGCCAAGACCGGCCACTCCCTATTAAAGCTTTACAGTTAAAGGGATATCCCACAATACAACAAGCTACAGCATCAGTTAAGGCCCTTAGATGAGCGCTTGTGTAAAACCGGCTGTTTTTCTGTTTGGATCAGAGGCAGGAATTCACCGTGTTACAACTGTTTGCAGTTTCTGGCATATAGATGAATGTACACAGCAGATGGTGCGCTGTGTTACGTAACAGCAATCTGAAGGAAGGAAAATATCTGTACAAACTTGTGTAGTCTTTAAACACAAAGACCTCATCCTCCTCCTCTGACGTGACAGATGGGCGTGAGAGCGTTTTAAAGCTCGGCGATCTGCACAGTTGTTTCTCTGCTCTTCCCTCTTGTTTTCTGTTGTTGTTGCACGAGCTGCTGCCAGCGCACGATCCCGTGACTCTGCTGGCAGCATCAGCAGCTTCCCAGCCCCCCGGGAGAAAGTGTGTGTTTTGGGGGGTGGGTTATGGGAGTAGAAGTGCACACCATTAGCTACACTCAGTGACCTTCCCCGAGATCACGCGTCTCTTCACGGATGATCACATGAAAGCCTGAGCGGGTTTCTGTGGTAACGTTGAGGACGCCTCATTGACATTAGAGCTGAATCGGGTATCTTTTCATTCTCAGACCGTCTTTGGCACCAGAGCCTCGGCGCTCTGTTCCCTAGCAAGGAAGCCGACAGGAATCCTCTGTTTACAGTACAGCTTTATACAACCATGAGCAACATTTCTCAGAACAGAGCGGATGCAGAAAACTCAAAGCAGGAGTGACGCTAAGCTGCCCCTCACTCGTCTAAAAAAATGACAACAAGCAAGACATCCACGAGGTGAATGAGTTTAAGTTGAACCGCTCCGTTCCTGAATGAGACAGGAAATGTCTTGTTTTTCCAATGTTTTTTCCATAGAAAGGGGACAGTGTGTAGAACAGCAGCTTTGGAATGCAGCCCAGATGGGAGCTTGTCAAGGTTAAAAAACAAAAGGGAATCGCTCCGTGAACAGCCGCTCCCCTATGTATATTTCCCAGATATGATGTTCACAGAAACCAGTGCCCACTACTGTTTCCACAAATAGATTTCAACATGTAGGTTTCCATGTATAGACTTAATTTAAAAGGAAAACATTCTGCTTCACCTTTTTTTTTTGGTGACCCCAGATGAGCCTGCATTTTTTTCCTTCTTCTTCTTCTAAGTAAAGTCAAGTGATGCCAAGCTTGGCGCAGCAGTCACGAGTTAAGTTTTACCTTGTAATAGGTTTTAATAACACAGGTCCCTGTGGCTTTAAGCTCCAGGCACTTGAGAAAGGCGTCATTATGCAAACAAACCGCCTATTACAACAGTACGTCCTTGCAGGCCAAAACCCAGTCAGCAGTTACTGCCTCATGCCTCCAAATGTGTTTGCATGACTTTTCTGTCATCATATAGTAGCACCATACTGAAACAAGCCCAAACCAGCAGTTGGTCGCAAAGCGCTCGGTGCCCTCAAGTCTCTCAATCAATATCTGTCTTTAGAAAAAGGTGCCAAGAGTCTTTTTTTTCCTCTCTCTTTTGGAGGATTTGAAGCCCTCTTCAAAGGTGCTTTGTTGCTCTTACCACAGTGCAATTCAAAGGTCTTAATTAATTTTTTTAGCGTCCAACAACATTTACAGAGTGTGGACAGGTGGGTCTCCAGCTTTAGCAGAGACCACAGAAAAATAAAGAAAAACAGAAATTAAAAAGGCAGATTTTTTTTTTCTCAAAACTCTCAAGACTGACGCCCACTTTGTGGGCTGTGGCATCATCAAATAACAACAAAATCAAATCAACAAAAACTAATTATTTGCTTTCTAGCTCTACAAGTGTGTGTGTGTTTTTTCTCTATTTGTCATTGCAAGTCAGGAAATTGCGCTACATAATCAGGTCAGGGGGTTGAGGAGAGGGCTTGGGGCAGGCATCGAGGACACTTCCCTTTTTTGGGGTAAAAAATAAATCCACCACAGATCAGCTAAAGGAGCACCAGGCTGCAGAGCTAGACGGCCAACCAATCGACAAGTCCCGTCTGCCACACCACGGCCTCTCGGGTCCGTGACGGTAGTGCATTTACGTGAAAAGGATCAAAGTCTATCAGGTGATGCCCATCTTTGAATGATGCACGCAGGTAAATAGGACAAGAATTAAAAGTGTATCAGTCACTTCACCCCTCTCTCAGCAGGACAGGATGGTGTGTTAATGGCTGGCAGCATCTGAAGTGGTGACAGAGTAGTTCAGCAGTATCACTTATCTTTGGTCAGTTTAAATTAAGGTGCAGTTTGTTTTCTTTTTTTTCTTTTGATCTCTGCTCACATTTTGATGGGGTGACGGGGGTGTCAGAGAGGGGTGACTATTAAAGCTCCGAGGACTTTTCCATCAGTTACCATTGACTGGTCTGGCATTGGGTCTCATTTCAGATGCTGGTGCAATTCAAATGATATGCAGAGCTTCTATAGGAGCCCAGCCAAACAAAAAACAACAACAAAAAAACCCCCAAACCAAAACAAACACACCCTCTTCTTTGTTTCCCGTGCCTGGGCTCCTCCCACTTCCTTATTTTTAGAACTTCCTCTTATCCTCAAATGCCCCCTCGCCCTCGGCTCACTAACGGCCCCCTGACAACAACTACGACCATCTACAAAACAGTGCAATGTCTATTCATAGGCACAATGGGGTACAAATACAGCACAGAGAGGGAGAGAGGAACACTATACACGCTCATACAGTATGTTACACGCACACACTTATGCACGCACACAGAGAACACAGAATACAGAGACATCAGCAGCAGCAGCAGGAGCAGCAGCAGCAGCTCTGGCCTGTTGGTGGTTGTGGTGCAGCCTGCAGAGACAGAGCGGTGAAGACGGCTGCTGTTTGGAGGACCAACAGGAGAGGACCAGGAGCAAGGTAGCAATTTACTATCGCTTTGTTTAGGCTACTCCTTCCTCTTCTTCCTCACCTCCTCTTGGTTCCCAGCCTCTCCACTTTGCCGTCTCTTTGCTTAAATGTGTACGACGTGAGAGCAGAAGAGGTGTGGAGGAGCTTGGTCTCGACAAGTTGGTGGTGCTGGGAGGGCGGGGTTGGAAGAAGAGGGTACGGAGAGAAAAGGGACTGCTGTTTTGGGGTTTTACCCCGATGCCTCATCCCCGTCCTGTGAGGGCTCTTTGCGTTGGTTCTGACCGCCTGCGCTGGCTGCCAAAATCCTCTGCACAAAGTCTTTGGTCCGCCCAGCAACTAAGGGACCTGAGGTAGCCATGGAGATAAATTAGGAGGTGCGATGGAAAGAAAGGGACAAGTCGCAAGCAAAATCAAACCTGTTTTTATAGCACGAAATATCCAAACTGCTTATTACATATCTGCAATGTTAGTCTGTTTCTCACCACTCGACTCTCTGAGGATGTCTTCGAGCCGTTGGGTCATCCCTCGCTCGTCCGTGTCCTCCTCCTCGCTGCTCTCCACTCGCCGTCTGATCACTTCCTTAATCCGCAGCAGAGCTCCCAACAGGTTTTCTGTGCAGCAAAAAGAGGAAAAAACAGCAGCGCGAGTCAGGAAAGCGTATCCAGGGGTGGAATTCTGTTTCTGAAAGTCGAGGGAGAATAACTGATATCATTCAGGGCTGTGGAGTTTTTCCACAGAATCCAAAGGCGTGCATTTTTAGTCGCCTACATGAGACCAATTACGGTGTTTAGTGCAGGGCTGTCAAACATACAGCTCACTGACCTGCTGTTTGCAAGGGATGGCTAATCGGGAGTAAATTGGCTCGAAGAGAGAGCAGCTGAAACAGCTTGTTTTAGAGATAGGGTGAATTGAAGGGGCTACAGAAAGGCTGCGAGATAAATAAGAAGTATTTTGAACTGCCAATCATGCAAAGCTGCTCTCGCAGAACTCCCCTCAGCGGTACGAAGCAGATGTTTGTTTTCAGAAAGCAGAAGAGAAAGCAGAGAGAAAAGGAAAGGGAAAGTAAACATCAATCTGAAACTAAAGGAGTGAAAGTGGTGCCCGAAAGGTCAGATGAGTGAGTTTGTGACTCAACCCTCGATCTTCAACTCCTAACTGTCCAAGTGGAGCTGCTCAGTGGCCAACAGATACTGACTAGTAATACGAAGCATCTGGAGTCAAGAAACACGCTTTTTGTTAAAGGAATCCTTCTCGGGTCTGTGAGATAATAGCAGATGGGTTGCTACAACATGTGGCACAGAGAAGCAGCTGGTTGGGCCCACGGGAAAGCAGAAAATGTAGGGTTGAAATTGGCTTGGAAAATGTACGTTTAATAAAAAGTATTTTCTTATTATTAATATTATACTTGGAGAGGTTTGCGGATGGTAAGCAGCAAGCCCAGCCGGTGGGTGGGCATGTGATTAATAGAAGAGGTAATAGTTTTTAATTTAAAAATAAATGGATTGTTTTACATCTATAATTAGCAAAAGTGGTTTAAGAGTAAATTATTATATTAGCATTATAATGGTATATTTATGTAAGCCCCGCTTCTTTCCAGTGTTTGAAAATTTTCCCCAAACATCTGTGTTTTTGTTTGCTTATGAAACAGAAACTGTTTAGTTTAGCTCAGATAGTAGTGCTGTGAGTCATCGGCACCTCCTATGCTAGTGGCTCCTCCCGTGTCAGGTCATGTGACCCAGTGGTGCCATGACACCCCTTCTGTCTGTGTACATTATTCTCGCCTTGATGTGATTTCTCTTTTGTCCAGGGCTCATATCAGCAGGGAGTGCATGTGTGGGCGAAGGACCACAGTGGGTCTGACCAGCTGCTCCCCAAGTCTCTGTAACACACACACACTCGCACACACACACACACACGCACACAAAGCAAGTCTGGAGGCTTCACACAGCACTGGCATGGTACCAAAGTGCTCTTTGTTTGAAGTTTCCTGTTGAATCTGCGGCTAAATATGTAAAAGTGTGTTTTGTATAGATGCAAACAGCAGCGATATAAAGCGAGTGAATGGAAGAGAAAAACAAATGACACAGGAAAAACGGAAGGAAGGAAATCTGTGAGGTCAAGTTCTGTATTTGGGCCAGTCAGAAGGCAAAAAAACACAAAAGCAGAAGCCACAACTAAAATCAAATGCTGGGCCAAAATCAGGAAAGACTGAAACGTTCAGAGAAAATCAAGGAGAAATGGACAAAGAAAGTTGATGCTAGTAAGGTTGGAATTCACAGAGATCGATAGAAAACCAGACGAGGAGCACGAAGAGGAGGAGGAGGAGGAGGAGGAGG